ATAAATGAGGGAAGAGCGATAAGCCGTTACTTTTAAGCCTTTACATAGTTTCAACAATTAATACCAGATTGCACAAAATACTAAATAAAATGATGTTCTGAATTTAAAAAGCATACACAATAATAAAAACCTTAAGAAAATAAAACCAAAATTGAAATTTCAAGAAACCATAAAATTAACTTAAATAAAACAAGAAAAAAAGCAAACGTCGGCAAGCCGAAGTTCATACACCCTTGCAGCTGTTGCAAGAATTAAATACTTTTGAAAACATTAAATTATAATTTACTTGTGTATATTTTGAAAAACATTGAAGCAATGATGATTTGCAGCTTAATTATTAAATAGTTCCTATGGCACCTATATGATTGTTCCTATGGGAGCTATATTCTATAGTCGTCCGATTTTGATAAAATTTAAACCGTAATTCTGAAATATCTAAACATTACTATATCTCGAAGAACTAGAAAAAAAATTAAAAAACACCAAAGTTATAATTTTTTTTTATTTTTTTTTATGATTGTTCCTATAGGAGCTATATGAAATAGTCGTCCGATTTTGATGAAATTTAAACCGTAATTCTGAAATATTTAACCATTACTATATGTCGAAGAACTAAGAGAATAATTTGAAAACAGCAAAGTTATAATTTTTTTTGTATTTGTTTTGCGTTTGTTCCTATGGGATCTATATGATATAGTCGTCCGATTTTCATGAAATTTAAACCGTAATTCTGGAATATTTAACCATTACTATATGTCGAAGAACTAAAAAAAAATTAAAAAACAGCAAAGTTAAAATTTTTCCTATGGGAACTATATGATATAGTCGTCCGATCCGACTTATATACTACCTACAATAGAAAGACAACTTTTGGGAAAGTTTCATGCAGATAGCTTTAAAACTGAGAGACTAGTTTGCGTAGAAACGGACGGACAGACGGACATGGCTAGACCGACTCGCCTACTGATGCTGATCAAGAATCTTTATACTTTATAGGGTCGGAAATGCCTCCTACACTGCCCTGCAAACTTTTGACTAAAATATTAAAACCCTCTGCAAGGGTATACAAATATGATATCATCATGTATGTATGCGAAAACCTTAAAGATGAACAATTAAGCGATAGTTTTGTAAAATATGGTTGACCTGTTGACTTTGTTTATGTTTTGGCGAGCCACAGCTGTGCAGATCCGCTGAAATCGAAGGGATGAATGTGGATGTGCTCTGTGGAAATCGGACTTTCACATTTGCTGAAAAATCCAACGGATCCAACGGTTGGACTGTGTGGGAAAAGGGCATAACAATCGCTTGTGGTGGATAAACATCGCGGACATCGATGTTCGTGAAGAAAGCATCAGTGAAACATCGATGTTTCCAAAAAAAATTGTGCTTTATAGCCTGATTCCATTGCCGCATTAGTGAACTTTTTAAATGTGCCTGATTCCATTGGCGCATTAGCATTTAGCTAATGCTACTCCGACATGTGAGTGGCACGAACAGCTGATTTGGGTTTGTTTACTTTTGAATTTTGGCAAATACAAAAGAAATTAATTAAAATTAATGAACATGAGTGAGTTTATAGCCTGATTAAAGCCTGCCGCATTAAAACGCATTTAGCCAAATGCGCATTTATTTACACAGGGAATCCCATAAGGCTAAATGCCGCATTTAATAGCCTGATTCCATTGCCGCATTAAAACGCATTTAGCCAAATGCGCATTTATTTACACAGGGAATCCCATAAGGCTAAATGCCGCATTTAAAATAAATGCGATTTTTAAATGCGATTAAAAACCATTCGCCCCGAAAGTTTTTAGAAAAAATACTGGAAAATACCGATGTTTAACGATATTTTGTTCGTGCCACCACTACAACAGCTGTTTTCTATAAGCAAGGTTGGCGCAATTTTTGATGTCTTTTGAATATAAAATCTATTTTGTAAAAAAATGACTGAAACCTAGAGCGCACGCTGCAAATTCTGCTCGCAGTACCACAATGCTTTATTGCTGGATCTCTGGCATAAAATTACTTCCACATTTACGGGGATCCTTGCCTTTTTTAGAAACTGAGGTAGCCTCCATGGCAAACCCGTCATAACAACGCAATCAGCTTCTCTTCTTTGTCGTTCAAGTTGGCAAATGTCTCGGTCGCAATATGGATATCCTGCTGAGCATTACAGAGTTTAGTAAACTCACTCATGTTCATTAATTTTAATTAAATTCTTTTGTATTTGCCAAAATTCAAAAGTAAACAAGCCCAGATCAGCTGTTCGTGCCACTCACATGTCGGAGTAGCATTAACTAAATGCTAATGCGCCAATGGAATCAGGCACATTTAAAAAGTCCACTAATGCGGCAATGGAATCAGGCTATAAAATAAATGCGATTTTTAAATGCGATTAAAAACCATTCGCCCCGAAAGTTTTTAGAAAAAATACCGGAAAATACCGATGTTTAATGATATTTTGTTCGTGCCACCACTACAACAGCTTTTTTCTATAAGCAAGGTTGGCGCAATTTTTGATGTCTTTTGAATATAAAATCTATTTTGTATAAAAATGACTGAAAACTAGAGCGCACGCTTCAAATTCTGCTCGCAGTACCACAATGCATTACTGCTGGATCTCTGGCATAAAATAACTCTCACATATACGGGGATCCTTGCCCTTTTTAGAAACTGTGGTGGTCTCCATTGCAAACCCGTCATAACAACGCAATCAGCTTCTCTTCTTTGTCGTTCAAGTTGGCAAATGTCTCGGTCGCAATATGGATGTCCAGCTGAGCATTACAGAGTTTAGTAAACTCACTCATGTTCACTCATAAGGCATTTAGCCTTATGGGATTCCCTGTGTAAATAAATGCGCATTTGGCTAAATGCGTTTTAATGCGGCAATGGAATCAGGCTATTAGTCTTAGGGTCCTTCTTAATGCAACATTTAATCTTCAATTCTTGTAATGGTAAAAAAAAAACAAAAGCAAATTCGCCATGACTAACAATCCAGCGCCGTCTTTAACAAAACCAGCTAAATATCTAAAAATATCTCAATACACTTAATTATAAATAAATGCCGCATTTAAAATAAATGCGCTGTTTAAATGCGATTAAAAAGCATTCGCCCCGAACGTTAAAAAAAAATACCGGAAAATACCGATGTTTAACGATATTTTGTTCGTGCCACCACTACAACAGCTGTTTTCCATAAGCAAGGTTGGCGCAATTTTTGATGTCTTTTGAATATAAAATCTATTTTGTATAAAAATGACTGAAACCAGCGCACGCTGTAAATTCTGCTTGCAGCACCACAATGCATTACTGCTAGATCTGTGGCAAGAAATAACTCCCACATATACGGGGATCCTTGCCCTTTTTAGAAACTGTGGTGGTCTCCATTGCAAACCCGGGATAACAACGCAATTAGCTTGTTGACATTATGGATGTCCTGCTGAGCATTACAGAGTTTAGTAAACTCACTCATGTTCATTAATTTTAATTAATTTCTTTTGGATTTGCCAAAATTCAAAAGTAAACAAGCCCAGATCAGCTGTTCGTGCCACTCACATGTCGGAGTAGCATTAACTAAATGCTAATGCGCCAATGGAATCAGGCACATTTAAAAAGTCCACTAATGCGGCAGTGGAACCAGGCTATTAATTGATTTTACCCTCAAACCTTTCTAGCTTTCTCTCCAATAGTGATGCGCTAAAAACGTCGATGGTCTCTAAAATACATCGATGTTCCCAAAATTTTTTAAACCACGATGCATCGATGTTTCTCCACTTCTATCTTGACACAATAGTAGTATTAATAAAACTTTAATTGTATATTGTTTCAAATAAGACTAGTTTTCAGCCGAAATACGCCAAAGCCGCTAAAACAAATTTCTGGTTGAGTACAAAATCTAGATTACGTATGTATATACCACTAAAAAATTTTGGAAAGTTTTTTTTAAGATTTTTAAAAGTTTTGGTCAGCTGTCTTTTTAAGTTTTATTATATATCTTGAGTTGTGACCAACCAAACCTGTGAGCAACCATTCTTTACAATAGACCAATCTTTAACATTGTTATACTAAATAACAATAAGTCATTTCTCTGCAAGAGCTCGGCAAACACTAACTTTTTTGAAAATTTTGGGCTGCTAAACGGCTGTTAGAATCTTAAAAACTCGAAAAAAAATTGCGTTTTAAAATCGTTATAGGTTCTAACTTAAAGTTGGTATCCGACTTTATCGGACAAGTTAACAATGGAGGATTTAAAAAGTTTGGCGTTCTAGTTATTTTCAGTCGTTAGGGACCAAATTTGAACAAAATCTTAGTAGGTTTAGAGTTCACAGGACTGTTAAGTGTAGGCAGTGTTGGCTCTCGTATTAAAAATATGCTGAATTAATTATTGAAAAAGCTAAACAATCATGAGTCCTGTTAGCATTTGTTAAACCAACAAAAAGCGAGGAAAATACAAAATTATTATTATGTTTTAAGCAGTTGGCCTTCTTTTATTGGGCTAATAAAAATATAATAGTAGCTCCAACTGAAAAAAACATATTATAATCATCTTATAAAACATTTTCAACAAGTTTCTGTTTCTCGAGCTCTGGCAGACAAATGACTTATCCAATCCACTTATTCAGTATGACAACGTTAAATATTGGTAAAGTAAAATTTTGTAAAACGCGCTAAGATCGGTTGGCCACAACTCGAGATTTAAAATAAAACTTTAAAAGGCAACAGTTAAAAACTTTAAAAAATACTGTCCCAAAGACAGTGTAATGTGAAATAAGTCTGAAAATCCTTTTTATATAGTTCGTTTCTCATTAATAACGGCTATTTTAATTTCACTTGTTTAAAAATAGAGTAAACAAAGGTTAATTTCTGGGCTTTGGTCTGCATTTAAACTAAAAAGTTAGGCGCTTGAGAAAACTTGCTCATTAAGTGCTCACCTAAAAATACATTTTGACTTTTGAACATGACCCGCGTCAAACTCTTGTTGGAACCAGTTCAATAGTGATAAACAGCTGATTGTAAAATAATAACAGCGGTGTACGCCTTCTAAGTATAGTGAGCAGTTATTTTAATTCTTATTTTTAATTAAATAAATTGTTCGTTCATACACATTAATAATGGGTATGTACATATTTAAACAGTTAGATTAGTGTGATGTGGTGATTTTGTTTATATATTAAAGGTTAACTCCTTTGTGTTATTGCTTGCAATACTACATACGTAAAGCAAATAAGTATTTACATTAACTTAAAAAAAATGAAAATATACATAAATATGCTGACTCTTGTTTTCTAATATATATTTTTGGAAATGTATGTAAATACATACATAAACAAACATTTTAGTTATGTATTTTATTAACATACATATGTACAGCCATTCATATATTTAATTATTCATACATATGTACATAAATATTTACATCGGTTGTTAGTTGCACCTAAGGGTGGCTTAAAATTGTGTGAACATTTAAAGGTCATCTTCTTATACTCTTATAGCGTGCGCTTTGTTTGACAAAAATTCGTTCTAGGGTCTGCACATTGTTGTTGTTATCAAATATGTACATACATATGTATATATTTTTTACCTTGCACCCGGTGCACCGGTCAAATTTCAATTGCAGATTCGGTGTTGAACTAAAAAAAATAATATATATTTAAAAAATCTATATAAATGGATGACAAAGATCACTGCGTTGATTTTATTCAACTTTTTGTTTCAGTTCATAATTGCAAGAAAACATACATTTGTATGTACATAATACATATATGTATAACAATGTTAGTTTAAGAAATTTAGTGTCTGTGACGTCTTGAAGACTTTCAACAAAAAACGAATTATTGATTATGGAATGCCGAGTGATCTGGTAATTTGTTTACATAATAAACACCATTTTTAGTAGACTGCTAAATTAATTTTTGCTTTTTTTTTTAGAAATCAAAAATAAAGGAGGTTGAAAATGATGGTGGCTGCTCGGCCACAAGATTTTGTATAATGACAAGCATATTTATTTGTTATTTTAAAATTGGCTCCGGCTATTTTTATTATAATGATAAGCATATTTATTTATTCTTTTAGAGTTGGATACGGTTGTTTTTCAAATACTACAGAGCTGAAGGTGAACCAACTTCTGCAATTAACCAACTTCGCTAAATTAAATTTTAAAAACACATTTGAAAGTATTTTCTAGCGCGAAAAAAACTTTTATATCACTTCTGGAAGTTAAAAAATGGGTCAGGGAAATTGCTTTCGGAGCGCGACTAATTGACTAATGTTGGAAAAAATGAGCTACTTTCGCGAAGGGAAGAAGTGTCCTTCAAAAATGACGAAGGCGCAGTGTTGCCAACACTTTGGGTCAAAAAAAGCTAAACTAACCTTTGAAAAAAGCTTGAAAAAGCCAGACAATTTTGATGGTAGCTAAAAAAAAGGCTTAAGTATTTTACCGGTATTTCTATTGGTTTAGTCAACTACTATTGAGAGATTATCATCTTATTTCATCCTCTTCAGCAGATGTACATATGTATAACGGAAATGCAAAAGCCAGCCAATCTTTGCGGGTTCTTGCATCCAGGCATGGCGCGGTTTTTTTTTATATATTTTGAGCATTTTCAACGTGTAAGTACACTCGCGACCGAATCATAAATTATGAAAAACCTCGCAAGTGATGGTATTAAACTCAATTCAATTGATTTCATACCTTAAGCCGATGAAATGTAACGCTATTTTGGCTTATCGATGGTTTTTTGCGATTCAAATGCGAAATAAAAAACTAGCAAGTAGTATTTATAAAAGTTTCCATTTGTTTTTTTAAACTTAAATTTATTTATTTATTCGCCAATGGATTAATCCCTATCTGGCTTATCAGCTAACTTAACTTTAAAACTAAATATTAATTAAAAAATATTCCCTAAGCAATTGCTTAAGCACATCCTTGTTGTAGCCCCAACCCAATCGAATACGCAGTGGCATTGAGTTAAAAAGTTAATTTGTCTTTAAAAAAAACCTTGTTTTCCGCTTCCCACTTATTAACAATTTGTTCCGCATTTTCCTATTGAAAAACGCTAGATCTAGTGGGAAAATAGCGAAATTGGCAACACAGCGAAGAAGTTTGAGTTGAGTTTAAAAGTAACTTCCGCGACAGAATGATTCCCAGAACAGAAATTCCCATTTATTCAACTAAAAAATATTAATTAAGTTAAATTAAATATGGTTTTTGACGATTGAATAGGACATCTCGTGCGTTTGGAAAAGGATGTTGCAGAACTTTATTTACCTCCAGCTCCGTACCGAGCTCTAAATTAGGAGAAGTAAATATTCTTTCCATTACTTGTCATTATAAAAAAAACTTGTCTTTAAAAAGTATCAAATATTATCAAAATGCCATCGGCTTTAACAAAAAAAAAAACGTTTTTTGGGGAGAAAAAATATCTTTTAAATTCTGACAAATGGACAATCCAAAAGTTCGTAGGTCATTGTAGGTAGGACCCATCCAAGATGATTGAGTGTTAATTTGAGACCGATTGGTCAACTTGTAGTCGAGTTATGATGTCAGCAGTTTTCAAAAATATGCTTTCGAGATAAACGCGGTTAAAGTTGCCGCTTTCACAGTATATTTTTGAAATTGTACACTACCAATATTGAGAGGAGAGTCGATCTAGCCATGTCCGTCTGTCAGTCTGTCCGTCCGTTAAAAGTCTCTCTACATGTAACTTTCCCAAAAGTTATCTTTCTATTGCAGATAGTACATAAGTCGGAACGAGCAGGATCGGACGACTTTTAAGTTCTTTTTGACTTATTAATAATTTGTCAGTTTAGAATTACGCTTTTAATTTTATTAAAACGGAAAACGATATCATATGGCTGCCATAGGAACTATCAAATAATTGAGCTGCAAATCATTATACATAGCTCCAATGTTTTTAAATATATTCGCAAGAAAATCATAATTTTAATATTTTCAAGAATATTCAGTTTTCGCAATAGGTGCAGTCGTATATGAACGAAGTTTACTTCCTTTTTTTATATTAATTTGGTTTTGTATCCCCTTGCAGAGGGTATAATAATTTCCGTAAGAAGTTTGCAACGCAGTGAAAACATTTCCGACCCTATACAGCATATATATTCTTGATCAGCATTACTAGAACAGTCGATTTAGCCATGTCCGTCTGTCCATCCGTTTCTACGCAAACTAGTCTCTCCGTTTTAAAGTAAAAATAATAAAAAAAATATTTTTTTAATTAAACTTATTTATTTTGTTATTTTTTAAAATTAATTTTACAGTACAACAGCCATAGGAACTATCAAATAACTGAGCTGCAAATCATCATAGCTTCAATGCTTTTCAACATATACGCAAGTAAATTATAAATTTAATGTTTTCAAGAATATTTAATTTTTGCAATAGCTGCAAGGAAATATGAACTTCGGATTTCTGAAGTTTGCTTCCTCTCTTGTTACGGAGTAGAATAATAAAAGAATCTTTCCAGATAGTGGGAAAAAACTGATGTTGGGGTGACAATTTTAGACAATTAAAAATCAGTTTACAAATAGTTAAGACACAAAACTTAAGCACGCACCCAGCAAACGGGAATCCGCACTTTAGGTAGTTTGGAAGAATCTGCCAAATAAATCAGAAATTTCAGAGTCAGTAGACGCCTCAGTTGTGTTTAATTGTACTAATGAAGCCAAAGCGGAGTTTTTTCGCTTGACATTTACAAAATTTTAAAATTGCTTCGGATTATTTGAAAATTCGGTTTACACCGACAACCTTACGTGTTGATCCCAGTTTAAACCACGAAGGGCGAAAAGAAGAAATTTTGTTTGTACCGACTCAGTGCAATCAATGTGTACTTGATATTCTGTACTCCAAACGCGAGCGCAATATTCTAAATTAGGACGGACAAGGGAAGTAAATAATAATTTTGTTCTTTTGACCATCGCTTAATAAACCCAAGAACTTTCAAAGCCTCGTTAACAATAGATTTTATGTGACAGTTGAATTTTAATTTTGGGTCCTGAAGGTCTCTAAATCGATGACCGAATATATACGGTCCAGTGGCGTATTATGAATTATTATTATTATTATCAATTCAAGTAGGTTCGTGGTAGTAGATCAAACTAGTCTCTCAGTTTTAAAGCTATATGCATTAAATATTTCCAAAAGTTGTCTTTCTATTGCAGGTAGTACATAAGTCGGAACGAACCGGATCGGACGACTAAAGCATAGGAACAATCGGAAAAATAAATGAAAAAAATTATAACTTTGCTGTTTTTTTATTTTTTTTATTTCTTCGGCATATAGCAATGCTTAAATACTTCAGATTTACGGTTTAAATTTCATTAAAATCGGACGACTATAACTTAAAGCTTCCATGGAAACAATAAAAATATTAAAAAAAAATTTTTAAATAGAACTTTTTTATTTTGTAATTTTTTTTAAAATTAATTTTACAGTTCAGCAGCCATAGGAACTATCAAATAATTGAGCTTCAAATCATCATAGCTTCAATGCTCTTAAGCATATACGCAAGTAAATCATAATTTTAATGTTTTTAAGAATATTTGTATTTTTGCAATAGCAAAGCAAGGGTATATGAACTTCGGCTTGCCGAAGTTTGCTCCCTTTTTTGTTTTTTCTTGTTTTACAGCATTTTGTAATATTTTTAATGTATTGATATTCGTTTATGCTAGAGTCGGCCAGTTTTAATGAAATTTAAACCGTTGACTTAGAGGTCAACCTGTAATTTTCTTTAAGAAAACCCTAACTCACTTTAAAATGGAAAAAAAATAGAAAAAGAAACGACAACGACGCCTTTCGAAATAATTGGATAGCTAATGGTTTTTGTGTTCCCTCAGCGGTTTTGAACGCTTTGGTTCAACTTTATTTCGCACCCTAATTGTCAGTATCGCACCACCTTCGATGACATCATTAAAGCTAATATTCATTAATTTAATTTATTTTGTTTTATAACGTTGCTTAAGGCTGTTCAATAGTTTGAATTCATTGCAAACCTGTACTTCTTTTGGCTTCTTTTCTTGTTAAAAAAACAATTTACGGTTTTTTTAATGCCTTTATAATTATTTTAAACATTTAAACAATAATTTTGTTCGATGAACCCTTG